TCTCTGATATTAATGACATTTGATTCTAAACACTTAAATCCAATACAGGGTGGTTCATGAGAGGTTTATAAGTTTTATAAAGTTAGGCTGGGTGTGGTGCTCACACCTGTAATCCCAGCACTGAGGGAAGTCAAGGCAGGAAGATAGCTTGAGAAATTAGAATTAGAGGCCAGCCTGGGCAACATAGTGAGACCCTGTCTCTTTTTTTTAAATTAAAAATTAGCTAGGCTTGATGGCTCACATATATAGTCCTAGCCACTTGGGAGGCTGAGGCAGGATGATTGCTTGAGCCCACAAATTCAAGGTTACAATGAGCTGTGACTGAACCACAGCATTCTAGCCTGGGCAACAGAGCAAAACCCTGTCTCAAAAAAAAAAAAAAAAAAAAAAGGTACCAACTTAATGGCACCCTTTTCCTAAACACTTCTACCCATAATCCTTCAGTTGTAGAGGAGAATGAAAACTGTGGGCTTAAATTAAATGGACCATTGTAGAAAGGAATGTGCTGCTGAGATTCATGTGGGGGCTTGAGGTCAGATTGTTTGTAAGGTCTCTTCTCTTATTTAGCAACTGGGGAGAATTGACCTAGTTAGCAGTACCACAAGCAGGGGAGAGATGGAAAAACAATATTTTCAAGTCAGCTTTTAAGTTGTTAAACAAGATTCTATAAACCAACAACAAAAAAATTTTTTCAAAAGAGGCCAATAAAATAGACTTTGCATTGAAGGGTTACTTGTCTATTCTAATGGGTTAAAAAGCTGAAATCTAACATGTGTCTACACATACCTGACCAGGAGACCAGATGTGCCCCTGAGATTTTTGTTTTCCTTTTCCTTTCTTTCCTTTTATTTTTCTGGTAACAGTTCTATTGAGATATAATTCACATATCATATAACTTACCAGTTTAAAGTATATAGTTCTATAGTTTTTTAAAAATATAATTTATTCAGAATCCAAGCTTTGTTTCACGTTTATTATTATTAATTATTATTATTGTTATTCTTTTTGAGACTGACTCTTGCTCTGTTGCCCAGGCTGCAGTGCAGTGGTGCGATCTTTGTTCACTACAACCTCTGCCTCCTGGGTTCAAGTGATTCTCCTGCCTTGGCCTCCCAGTTAGCTGTGCACCACCATGCCCAGCTAATTTCTGAATTTTTAGTAGGAACGGGGTTTCACCATGTTGGCCAGGCTGGTCTCAAACTCCTTACCTCAAGTGATCCACTCGCCTCGGCCTCCCAAAGTGCATCTGGGCTGTAGTTTTTAATATATTCAGAGTTGTGCAGTCATTGCCACAGTAAATTTTTTTTTACCTCAAAAAGGAACCCCATATTCTTTAACTGTCATCCTTCAACTCCCCATCTCTTTTTTTTTTTTTTTTTTTTTTAAACAGTCCAGAGGTCTTTTATTTATTTATTTTTTTAAACACCTATTATGCCATGAATTCATAGGGACTAGGTTCCAGCAGCTCAGGCTCCTTCCCATTGGTTCTCACAAAGTGTGCTTCTCTGGGTGGAGCAGGCTGGCGCTTCAGTTGGACCAGGTACCTTTCTCTTTGGCTTCTTTCTTTTTCTGATCATTTTCCTTCACACGTTTTAGGAAGCTATCTCGGCTCTTAGAGTGCTTGATGTGCTCAATACGCACATTAATTCTCTTGGCAAGAATCTTGCCCTTAACTTGTTTGTTTACAACAATGCCAACAGCATGCTGGGTAACATTGTAGACCCTTCCAGTTTTGCCATGATAACATTTGTGGGGCATTCCTTTTTGAGCAATACACATTCCCTTGATGTCTACAATATCACCTTTCTTATAGATTTGCATATACGTGGCCAAAGGAACAACTCCATGTTTTCTAAAAGGCCTAGAGAACATGTATCGAGTGCCTCTCCTCTTTCCCTTTGTGTTCCTCATTTTGGCGAATTACTCTGTGACCACAAGGTAGCGATTCAAGTCTGTCAACTCCCCCTCTCCTTTTACCCAATCCCAAAGAACCAGTTTTCTCTCTACAGATTTGCTTGCTTTGGACATTTCATATAAATAGAAGCATATAATATGTGGTCTGTGTTGTCTGGCTTCTTTCACTTAGCATAATGTTTTCGAGGCCCATCCATGCTGTAGCATTTATCATTGTAGAGATGGGGTCTCACCGTGTTGGCCAGGCTGGTCTTGAACTTCTAGACTCAAACAATCCTTCTGCCACAGCCTCTCAAAGTGTTGGGATAAGAGAGACATGAGCCACTATGTTCAGCCTTATGTGTGAGTTTTTAGGTGGACTTAAGTTTCCACTAAAGTGGAAATGTATGACCAGAAGTGGAATTACCAGGTCAATTGGAACTATTTGATGATGACTAATGATGTTGAGCATATTTTCATGTCCTTATTGGCCATTCATATATCATCTTTGAAGAGATATCTATTCAGGTCTTTTACCCAGTTTTGAATTGATTTATCTTTTAAAAAACTGAGTTGTAAGAGTGCTTCTGGAACTTATGTTTTGATTAGAAATGGTGGTAGATGCCTACAGAGAGCTTATTGAACTGCATCTGCTCCCGGTAATTCCTACCCTTCCCTCAGGCAGGTGAAAAACTAAGCAAAGATTACAAACCATCAGTATTTCTTTCTCCAACAGTTCAGAATATTAAGGGACAGTCAGATAGTATCCAGATAAATGGGAAAGAGAGTCAAGAAGTTTCCACTCACTGTAGTCTTAGGAAATAGCAAAAATTGCTGGATTTACTGCTGTTCATAACAAATAGGAGCCACAGAGTTCAGGAATTCAGAGCACAAAGATGGAACAGAGTTCTTTCATCACTATATTGGGCAATGTGATTTAAAATCAGGGCAAAAATACTGACATAAAAAGAAAGGAAGTTATACAGACAAATTCACTTTAAATAGTTAATTCAGGAAATAAGACAGCATGCTATATAAAAGCTGCTCTGACTCTCAAAGCATAAAGAAAATTGAATAAGAGAAAAAAGCTGAGAGAAAAAGAAAAGAATAAAATGCTTATAGTACTGAAAACTACATTATCAGTATAAGAGAATAGAATACGGAGGATATGCCTGAGAAAAATCACCTGTGAAAGCAATTGAAACGAACATAATAAATCTAGAAGACAGACAATGGAGAGCCAATATATGATTTTTCCAAAAACAAGAGTAGCAAAAAAAAGTAAAGAGAAATTATAGCAAATACATAACAGAACAAATTTTACTAAAGTAAAAGGGAAAACCTGAATCTGCAGATAAAACAGTTTAACAATCCCCATCATTGAGTATATAGTTGTTTTTGTTTTCTGTGATAAGTAGTGCGGTTATGAATATATTTGTTCATAAGTCTTTGTCTTTGTTTCTCATTATATTACTTAAGGACAGATTCTTAGAAGTTAAATTACTGGGACAGAAGATTAAGAATATTTTAAGTTATGCATTGTCAAAATGATATTTAAAAGGGTTATGCTAGGTTTCAGTATATTTACTACGATTGACACATTTTTAGTCATTGCTCATTTTATAGGTAAAAATGGCATCTTATTGTTTTAATTTACAATTATTACTAGCAAGATTGAACTTTTTATTTTTTATTTTATTTTATTTTATTTTGAGATTGAGTTTTGCTCTTGTTATCCAGGCTGGAGTGCAATGCCACGATCTCGGCTCACCGCAACTTCTGCCTCCTGGGTTCAGGCAATTCTCCTGCCTCAGCCTCCTGAGTAGCTGGGATTACAGGCACGTGCCACCATGCCCAGCTGATTTTTTGTATTTTTAGTAGAGACGGGGTTTCACCATGTTGACCAGGATGGTCTCGATCTCTTGACCTCATGATCCATCCGCCTCGGCCTCCCAAAGTGCTGGGATTACAGGCTTGAGCCACCGTATCCGGCCCTGAACTTTTTATTTTTATTTTTGGAGACAGAGTCTTGCTCTTTTGACCAGGCCGGAGTGCAGTGGTATGATCTCAGGTCACTGCAACCACTGTCTCCTGGGTTCAAGCAATTCTCCTACCTCAGCCTCCAGAGTAGCCGGGATTACAGGTGGCCCCCACCAAGCCCCGCTAATTTTTATTATTTTTTAGTAGAGACAGGGTTTCACCACATCGGCCAGGCTGATCTCAAACTCCTGACCTCAGGTGATCCACCAGCCTCGGCCTCCTAAAGTCCTGGGATTACAGGTGTAAGCCACTGTGCCCAGCTAAGATTGAACATTTTTGTACATGTAAATTGTTTTTTACTTCTGAGTTTTTAGTCAATATCCTTTGCCGGTTTTTTTTTTTCAGCTTTTTAGTGTCCCTTTGTCATGTTTATGGTAAATATTTAGCTCAGTTTATTGCTTCTCTTTTATTATAAGGTCTTTTTTTTTTTTTTTTTGAGATGGAGTTTCGCTCGTGTTACCCAGGCTGGAGTGCAATGGGGCGATCTCGGCTCACCACAACCTCCGCCTCCTGGGTTCAAGCAATTCTCCTGCCTCAGCCTCCTGAGTAGCTGGGATTATAGGCACGCGCCACCATGCCCAGCTAATTCTTTGTATTTTTAGTAGAGATGGGGTTTCACCATGTTGACCAGGATGGTCTCGATCTCTTGACCTCGTGATCCACCCGCCTCGGCCTCCCAAAGTGCTGGGATTACAGGCTTGAGCCACGGCGCCCGGTGAGGTCATTTTTTTACTTAGATATAGTGTGTTTTTATTTAATCATATTTGCTATTTTTTTTCTATTTTTGTTTAGAAAGTCTTTCCTCAATAATAAAAGTTTATATTTTCTCTTTATATTTTATTGTTTCAGTGTTCCATTTACATAAGTAATTCACCTGGAATTCCTTTTGGTTTTTGGTATAGAATAAGGATCTGACTTCATTCTTTTAACAAATAACCAATGTTTTTGGTATAATTTCTTGATTACTCTTTTATTTGGTGACAGTTCATTTTGCGTATTTCAAAAGTATTTTTATCTTTTTGAAGTTTACCATGCTTTGATACGTAAACTTTTTATATTTGTTTTAGAATAAGGAGAGATTATCGTCTGCTGTTACTGACCTCAACATAATAATGGAGCCCACAGAATGTTCAGAATTAAGTGAATTTGTGTCTAGGTAAGCTATTTTACAAGTTTACTTTTTTAGACAAAAAAAAGTAAATTTACACTTTACAGTTTTAAGTTTACCTTTTCCTTATCTTAGTAAATAAATAGGCCTTCTCTGAAAATATAACATCATTACTGTGGCTTTTATTTAAGCCCATATTCTCTATATCTGTTATTCTTTCATTTAGTTTATATTTATTGAACATTCACTATGTGCTGGGTATTAAAATTTTTATTTTATTTTATTTTTTTGAGATGGAGTTTCGCTCTTGTTACCCAGGCTGGAGTGCAATGGCGTGATCTTGGCTCACCTCAACCTCCGCCTCCCGGGTTCAGGCAATTCTCCTGCCTCAGCCTCCTGAGTAGCTGGGATTACAGGCACGCGCCACCATGCCCAGCTAATTTTTTGTATTTTTAGTAGAGACGGGGTTTCACCATGTTGACCAGGATGGTCTTGATCTCTTGACCTTGTGATCCGCCCGCCTCGGCCTCCCAAAGTGCTGGGATTACAGGCTTGAGCCACAGCGCCCGGCTAAAATTAAAATGTGAGCAAGAAAAGATCTAATCCTCAGTCCTCATGGAATTGACAGTCTAGTTGAGAAGTCAGATATTAATCAAATAATGGCAGAAGTAAATCTTAAATTTTGACTATGTTAAGTGCTACAAAGTTGAGTTACATAATACTGTTGAAGTATATATCAGGAATTTTTGTTTTTTATTACTTTTATATTTTATTTTAAAATTAGAGTTGGGATCTCACTATGTTGCCCAGGCTGCTCAAGCAATCCTCCTGCCTTGGCCTCCTAAAGTGTGTATCAGGAATTTGACTAGCAGAGAGAACATGAAATCATTTCCTGAAGGTTGAGCTGACATCTGAAAAATGAGTAGGTGTGAACTAATAAAGAGGAAATAGCTTTACTGTGCACTGTGCTAGCAGGGAGCATGATGTCTGCGAGCAATTGACACAGGGCCAGAGTGACTGGTAGAGGCAAGAGCCTAGGAGAATGGTGTAAGTTGAGGCTAGTAAATTAGGTAAGGTCCATACTACAGGGAATTTGGTATGAAGAGTTTTATCATAGTCCTAGGACCAAGTGAAACTATTAAAAAGTTTTGATGAGGGCCTGAGGAAAACAGAAGTGTGGCATCCTAGAAATAATTATTCTGGATGCTATGGAGAAATGGAATGAAGGAGTACAATCATTGATACAGGTGAGTCAATGACTAGTCTTTTAAAACAGTTCAGGCAAGAGAAGTTTGTAGTTTGGACTGAAATGATGGTACTTAGCTAGATGAATTTTGGGGATATTTAGGAAGCAAAAATGAGTGGGCAATGGGATTATTTGAATAAAAGGAATTAGAGGTCATTCACAGGTGATAACTCTTTGATTATGGTGGGCCTGTTTGCTGATAAGGGAAGTTTGGAAGAGGACCATTGTCCGGTGAGATTATGACTTTATTTTGGACATATGAGACTTGAGTGCCTTTGAAAACTCTGAAATAAAAATGTGAAAGAGGCAGCACAGAAGAGGTGGGGGTGGGAGAACACTGAAATTATCTTCTATTCGGTAGGAATTAAAGCCTTGAGCAGGAATGAGGGTGCCTAGGAAGGAATATAGAGTGAAACTAGAAAAGGGCCTAAAACTAAGCCTTGAGGAATTCTTAACTATACTGGCTGAATAGAAGGCAAGGTTCCTGCAAAGGAATTAGAAAAGGAACTGTTTGAGAGGTAGGCAGAACACCAAGAATGTGTTATGTCATGGCAGAGATCACATACTTTCTTTGGTTCAGACCATGGTTTGGAAGTAGCATCTGCTATTTGGAGACTACAAAAGGAAGAATATTGAGATATCTTGTAATAATGAGCATATTATAGTCACTTAATATTTAATCTCAGCCTTTTGGGTAATTTTTTTGACTGGGTTCCCTTTTGTGGAGAGTGGTATTTTAGAAAGAGTGTTGAACATAGGTCAGAAGACCTGGATTTTAGTCCAGATTCAATGACCTAGTGCAAATTACTTCTACTTTTGAAGTTTCTTTTTTCTTTATCTCTGCTGTTATGCAATTTAAGTATTATGTGCCTAAATATGAATTTATTTTTAGTTTTTCATTATAGATCTGTAGTTTTCAGACAGGATTGATATCTTTAGTTTTTGGAAAATCTTAGTCATTATTTTATTGACTCTTGCTTCTACCTTGATCATCCCTTATCGCGTCTACCTTAACTTTAAATAGTAAACATTTCACATGTACTGTAAGAACAACAGTATACTTTCCATTTTTTCCCCTCAACCATTCATTGTATTATTATTGTCATACAATTGTCATATACTTTTACAAGTTCCTGATGCCTCAGGGCATTGTTACTATATTGGCCTTAGACTCAATTATTTTTTAAAGCAATTTAAAATAAGACAAAACTTGCTTTGTTTTGTTTTTTTTTCTTGAGATGGATTCTTACTTACTCTGTTGCCCAGGCTGGAGTGCAGTGGCATGATCTTGGCTCACTGCAACCTCTGCCTTCCAGGTTCAAGCAATTCTCCTGCCTCAGCCTCCTGAGTAGCTAGGATTACAGGCATCCAGCTACCATGCCCAGCTAATTTTTTTTTTCTTGATTTCACCTATGTGGGCCAGGCTGGTCTTGAACTCCTGACCTCAAGTGATCCACCCGCTACGGCCTCCCAAAGTGCTGAGATTACAGGCATGAGCCACCACACCTGACTTACAAAACATGTTTTTGTATATTTATCTTCATTTTTTTCAGTTACAACATTCTTCATTTCTTTTCTTTTTTTTTTTTTGAGACGGAGTTTCGCTCTTGTTACCCAGGCTGGAGTGCAATGGTGCGATCTCGGCTCACCGCAACCTCCGCTTCCTGAGTTCAGGCAATTCTCCTGCCTCAGCCTCCTGAGTAGCTGGGATTACAGGCACACGCCACCATGCCCAGCTAATTTTTTGTATTTTTACTAGAGACGGGGTTTCACCATGTTGACCGGGATGGTCTCGATCTCTTGACCTCGTGATCCACCAGCCTTGACCTCCCAAAGTGCTGGGATTACAGGCTGAGCCACCGCGACCCGGCCCCCATTCTTCATTTCTTTTTCTTTTTTTCTTTTTTTTTTCTTGAGACGGAGTTTCGCTCGTTTTACCCAGGCTGGAGCTCAATGGCGTGATCTCGGCTCACCGCAACCTCCGCCTCCTGGGTTCAGGCAATTCTCCTGCTTCAGCCTCCTCAGTAGCTGGGATTACAGGCACGTGCCACCATGCCCAGCTAATGTTTTGTATTTTTAGTAGAGACGGGGTTTCACCATGTTGACCAGGATGGTCTCGATCTCTTGACCTTGTGATCCACCCACCTTGGCCTCCCAAAGTGCTGGGATTACAGGCTTGAGCCACCGCGCCCTGGCCAACATTCTTCATTTCTTTTTTTTTTTTTTTTTTTTTTTGAGACAGAGTTTCGTTCTTGTTACCCAGGCTGGAGTGCAATGGCGCGATCTCGGCTCACCACAACCTCCGCCTCCTGGGTTCAAGCAATTCTCCTGCCTCAGCCTCCTGAGTAGCTGGGATTACAGGCACGCGCCACCATGCCCAGCTAATTTTTTAGATTTTTAGTAGAGACGGGGTTTCACCGTGTTGACCAGGATGGTCTTGATCTCTCGACCTCGTGATCCACCCACCTCGGCCTCCCAAAGTGCTGGGATTACAGGCTTGAGCCACCGCGCCTGGCCATTCTTCATTTCTTTATGTTGATTCAGATTTCTAATTTATATGCTCCTTGTTCCGTAAGAACTTCCTTTAGCTTTTTTTTTTTTTTTTTTTAAGATGGAGTTTCACTCTTTTTGCCTGTGCTGGAGTGCAATGGCACAATCTTAGCTCACTGCAACCTCGCCTCCTGAGTTCAAGTGATTCTCCTGCCTCAGCCTCCCGAGTAGCTGGGACTACAGGTGTGCACCACTATGCCCGGCTAATTTTGTGTTTTCAGTAGAGGCAGGGTTTCACAATGCTGGTCAGGCTGGTCTCAAACTCCTGACCTCAGGTGATCCACCCGCCTCGGGCTCCCAGAGTTCTGGGATTGCAGGCATGAGCCACCGCACCTGACCCCCTTAACATTTCTTACCGTGCTGGTCTATTGGCCATAATATCTATCAGCTTTTCTTTCTCTAGAAAACTCTTAATTTTGCCTTCATTTTTTGAAAGGTATTTTTGCTGGCCATAGAATTCTGAGTAGACAGGTTTTTAAAAAATATATATCTTTAAACATATTCTTTCATGATCTGGATTGCATAGGTCATGACAAAAAGTCTGCTATGATTGTTGTCTTTATTTTTCTGTATTAGTGTGTCTTGTGTGTGTGCTTGGGGCTGCCTTAAATCTTTCTCTTCATTTTGCTTTTCTGTAGTTGGTGCTATGTTTGGGGTATATTTGTGTGAAAATTATCAACCATATCTTTTAAAGTATTTATTTTGCCTTGTATCATTCTAATCACACATATGCTAGACTATCCGACATATTGTCCTAGCATTTGGATGCTCTTCTATTCCTTTCATGCCTTTTTGTGTGTGTGTTTCAGTTTGGATAATTTCTATTAATCTATCTGCAACTTCACAGACTCTTTCCTCTGTTGAAGTACTGGCTGCCCATGGGCCCATTTTTGGCCCATTTAAGGAGTTGTTGGTCTCACTTATAATGCGTTTTATTCCTTTTTATTTTCATATTCCCTTGTATGGATGTACTAGAGTTTTATTCAATTATCCATTGAAGAACATTTGGGTTATTTTCAGTTTTTGGTGAATATAGTATATTATAGTGATATATACATTTATGTAGCATATTACATTGTATAATATGTATAATGTAAAGATATTATCATTGTGTGTGTGTGTATATATATGTATATATATGTGCACATGCATTCATGCCTTTACAAACATTCATATGCTATAAATATATTATACACACAAACATACATGTATATGCTGTTGTGAACATTCACTAGAGATTTTTGTGTGAATA